AATAATTTGCTGCCATCAAGAAATTCCAGCGAGATTCTAATGAGACCTTTGCAATCGATAACACAAAATTAACAATCTTCCAGAACCAGAATCCTCCATGTAATACGAAATGAATATGCCATTTTTCAATATTTTGATGGCACATTAGCCTGAAAAGTTAAGCTCATCATGACATCATGAGGTTTCCCCTCCTTTCATTTCAAGTTGTATCCTCTCTCCCTCCCTCTCCCTCTCCCCCCTTGCCCACCTCCCTCTGCAGCCAGAGACAACGAAGCTTGTTCCTCTGATTGTTGGATGAAGGTCGATTATGAGAATGGACATCTGATAGTCAGAGACATTGAACTCGAGTTGAATGATAGTGACATCTCAGCTTGAATGGCAATCACTTTCATCCAATTTGATTCTTGTAGATACAAATCATCGTTTTCTTTTACAGGATATAAAAATTGGCATTGGTTTGGGTATGTTTGCTTTCACTGCAATTATTTGAAATCGCAAGGTTATACAGTTGCCCCATTTGAAATTAGCTTATTTTATTGACTAAATCACTTGATGCAAGTATATTGCATGTTATAAAGGATTGGATAGTAAATCATATAATGGTTTTGAGTTTGTTAGAATCTTTTTTTTTCCCTGCTATATGCCAGATATGACTAACGCAGCACACGAGTTTGAACAGCTACTATTATACTGTAGACAGTAGAACAATTTTTTTTTTTAAACTTAACAAGTTTTTTCTGTAGCAGAATTTTTTTTTTGTCCTCTTACTGTCAATTTTCCATGTATTGTTCTACCTTTTTTTTTTTGGTCGGAGCAGGCATCATTGACATGTTCCAATTGAGCACTTCCCATTATCTTCCAATTATTTTCAAAAGGGAAGATTTTATAATTTTACGATCTTATAATGCTATTTTTAGATTTAAGGTAGGGATGTTGGGTATTATCTTATCAAGTACTAATACTTAAACGAAGGTAAAAAGCTTTTGGCACCTGGACCAGCATAGGTATCATGTGATCGTTCGTGGTTGCCGATGTAATGTGTCTTTTGTATTTGCAATTGCACATTCTCGGGGCACTGGGAAGGGGTGATGCCGGATGAGGCAGATAGGGGAGGGGGTGGTGGCTGAGTTTTTTATGGTCTTTGCTGGAATACCTTAGAGTCAGGAGAACTGCAGCTTGGTTGTGATGGGTCACATTGTCATATTTGTTTTTGTGTTGTTTCTGAGCAATGTACTGGCTGATGAAATACATTTAGAATTTGATTTAGTGGATAATGAACTACTGCGTACCCACAACACCCACCCCCACGTCCACCCCCACCCAAAAGAAGTGCCTGTAATCAACCTGTTGGGGGTGTTTGATATTTGACTGATATTGTTTGTTTTGCGATGGGGACATTTTATTTGTGACATGGTAATGGGATGTGCCTACAGTGTTTTGACAAGTTGATTTTTTAGTGTTTATATGAACTTTTTCTTGTTGATCTTTGAGGTTTAACTAGGGTGAAATTAATTAAAGAAGTGATTAGTTTGGGATTTTATAGTTGATATGATTTTACCACGAAGATTAATGATCTATCATTAATCTTCGTGGTAAAATCATATCAACTATAAAATCCCAAACTAATCACTTCTTTAATTAATTTCACCCTAGTTAAACCTCAAAGATCAACAAGAAAAAGTTCATATAAACACTAAAAAATCAACTTGTCAAAACACTGTAGGCACATCCCATTACCATGTCACAAATAAAATGTCCCCATCGCAAAACAAACAATATCAGTCAAATATCAAACACCCCCAACAGGTTGATTACAGGCACTTCTTTTGGGTGGGGGTGGACGTGGGGGTGGGTGTTGTGGGTACGCAGTAGTTCATTATCCACTAAATCAAATTCTAAATGTATTTCATCAGCCAGTACATTGCTCAGAAACAACACAAAAACAAATATGACAATGTGACCCATCACAACCAAGCTGCAGTTCTCCTGACTCTAAGGTATTCCAGCAAAGACCATAAAAAACTCAGCCACCACCCCTCCCCTATCTGCCTCATCCGGCATCACCCCTTCCCAGTGCCCCGAGAATGTGCAATTGCAAATACAAAAGACACATTACATCGGCAACCACGAACGATCACATGATACCTATGCTGGTCCAGGTGCCAAAAGCTTTTTACCTTCGTTTAAGTATTAGTACTTGATAAGATAATACCCAACATCCCTACCTTAAATCTAAAAATAGCATTATAAGATCGTAAAATTATAAAATCTTCCCTTTTGAAAATAATTGGAAGATAATGGGAAGTGCTCAATTGGAACATGTCAATGATGCCTGCTCCGACCAAAAAAAAAAAGGTAGAACAATACATGGAAAATTGACAGTAAGAGGACAAAAAAAAAAAATTCTGCTACAGAAAAAACTTGTTAAGTTTAAAAAAAAAAAATTGTTCTACTGTCTACAGTATAATAGTAGCTGTTCAAAACTCGTGTGCTGCGTTAGTCATATCTGGCATATAGCAGGGAAAAAAAAAGATTCTAACAAACTCAAAACCATTATATGATTTACTATCCAATCCTTTATAACATGCAATATACTTGCATCAAGTGATTTAGTCAATAAAATAAGCTAATTTCAAATGGGGCAACTGTATAACCTTGCGATTTCAAATAATTGCAGTGAAAGCAAACATACCCAAACCAATGCCAATTTTTATCCTGTAAAAGAAAACGATGATTTGTATCTACAAGAATCAAATTGGATGAAAGTGATTGCCATTCAAGCTGAGATGTCACTATCATTCAACTCGAGTTCAATGTCTCTGACTATCAGATGTCCATTCTCATAATCGACCTTCATCCAACAATCAGAGGAACAAGCTTCGTTGTCTCTGGCTGCAGAGGGAGGTGGGCAAGGGGGGAGAGGGAGAGGGAGGGAGAGAGGATACAACTTGAAATGAAAGGAGGGGAAACCTCATGATGTCATGATGAGCTTAACTTTTCAGGCTAATGTGCCATCAAAATATTGAAAAATGGCATATTCATTTCGTATTACATGGAGGATTCTGGTTCTGGAAGATTGTTAATTTTGTGTTATCGATTGCAAAGGTCTCATTAGAATCTCGCTGGAATTTCTTGATGGCAGCAAATTATTA